GACAGAGGTAAAATTGAAAAAAAGGGTGGGGGGAAGGTAGCAGTGAGAGCAAACCCTAAACCACACCATTTCCCTAGTAACAGGGTAAGGGCCTCATTACACCATGTTATCCAAAGATATACAGCATTATTTTTTTCCAAGACAGGTGTGCTTGGTTTGTTCATATAATCAATTTAACAGAGAAGCCCAGGCAAGCTTACAAAATATCTTTTGCAGCATGACTTTGAATCATACATGTGCAAGTAAATATGTGCAATGTAACAATCTGCAACCCATATAATGTTTATTTTGCTTGTTTGTATTCCTGGGTTAAAAAAATTCTTGTTCAGTTCACTTAAGACTTCCTTCCCCTGAAATGATCTGCATCACTGTCACTAATTTTAGTTCTTATGAAGCCCTATTGCTTGGTCACCATTCTTCTTAGCAAGAAAACCGAAACATCTTTGGAAAGATAAAATAACTTCTGTTCTTATTTCAAAAATCCTTCCTCCTTTGTTAATTCATTGCTAAAACCCAGATCCATAGCTTGGACATTTCTTTCTGGATTCCTGTAACCTTCACTCAGGTGAAGTACATTTCTCCTTTCCACATTCTTCACAATGTCACTAAATCTCTCCCACCCCCCTGTCCACAGCACTCTGTTTTTAAAATCAGCCTCTGGCTTATTACATTTTTTGTGAAATTCAAATCTCCTAGTTCCTTTTTCATAACGACCTTTACAATTTTGCCTCTGTTAACACTTCAGTGCTCTCCTCAGTGATTCTCCCAACCAATGAGACTTGATTCCAAACTTTTCACCGAATTCTTTCCTTTGTTTCCTTCCTCCCCTATTTCTACTATGCAAGCCCTGTGCCTGGATCTATCCTAAGCCACAGTAACGCTCTCTTTTCTCCACATCTCAGGATGTCGTCTCAAGTTTTTCATAGCGTGAACCACATCTTACAGAGATTATCCCATATACCAGCTTGGAGGCAACGGGAAAATAGATGCTTCAAGTTCTGTTTATTTGAATGCATACAACTATACTGGTACTTCCCTTTTGAAAGTAGACAGCTTTGGTAGATTTTGAGAATCAAAAATGCCACCTACATATTCAGGCTTCTGGCCTTTTATCAACAGTGCTGTGAACTCAAAGCTCCAACTGAAGTTAATGAAAGCTACCTCTGAAAACTATGCCCTAAAATTAAATGGAAACGAAATGAGTGTATTCAACTGAAGAGGACATGATTTAATACTGGATATTTTGGGAAAAGGAGGACTATTTTTGCATAAGTTAAGAGTTTCAAAATTTTACAGAATTATAAATTACACTATTTAACACAACATACATACATACAATTAGTTTAGAGCTGTTTCCCTGGTAATGAACATGGCAATCAAATGAATCACATTCTTCAAAAACAACTTATTTTGTAGGTATAAGTTCTTCATATAGCTTCACAATTGAATTATTCTGATAGTTCCAGCTCCTTTTTACATCCTAAAATGATGGTGGCATGAGGTTAGATAAAACAGGCTTGCTTGCTCAAAATGTTTTTGTTTTGTTTTGTTTTTTTAAATGAAAAAAGAAAAAAAAGAGACAAAAACCATTATTACTCTCTCTTTTCCTTGGTAGTAAATGCTACTGTCTAGTAGCAGGATGCTCTTTTAATAGTAGCAGAATACTCTTTTCTTCCTCTATTAATTTTTTTCTTTTTTGTGGCAAGATTAAAAAGGAGTTTTATTGGACAGATAAATAGCATATTGTAAAAAAGAAAATGAACAAGTACTTTTACTTTATTTTTTATTGTAAATTGATGGATCACTGTGTTTTTGCACTTAAGGAGAAAATTTTTCAACAAAGGACCTGCCCAGGATCATACAATAAAGAGTGCACCACTTCATTCAATATCATCATCCCACACTTAGGTTAGGGACAGAAGTTACACATAAACCAGTTTAAACCTGTAACAGAACAGATGGTCAGTACACATAAACCAGTTTCAAAATGGCCCAAACTGGTTCAAGATAAACCTGGATAGATGTAGTATCAGACTTAACTAATTTACGTCAAACCGATTTATGGAACTTCTTTCCCAGACCCCTTCCTGCTTCAAGTTAACTCACAGCCCCCCAGCATCCCAGGACGCTTTGCAGCCCTCAGCTGTGCTATCTGCTCCAGTGGAGCAGGGACGGCCCCACCCTTCTGCTGCCTAGCCTGCTTTCTTCCTGCATCCATCAACCCATAGAGATGTGGGGAAGGGAACAGACCCCCAGCCCGCCCTAGCCCAGATCTACACAGTTTGGTGAGGAGGGAAAGCCCCTGTGGAGGAGGCTTTTTGCCCCTCTGCAGCCTTCCCTCCGCTGGGGGCATCCCAGGAAGCGAGGGGAATTTCCCACCTTCCCCTCCCTTGCACAGCTGCTTGCCTCAGCCGCTGCCACAGGAAGGAGGGGGATGAAGTTCCCAAGGCCCCAGGGATGCGGGCACCAGTCTTCCTTCACCCCAGCCTCTTCCATCTGAGCATCCCTGGGGAGCCAAGGGGAATTTTCCCCTTCCCCCTTCCCAGCTGCTGCCCAGCCTAGGGGCACCAGGCAGCTACTGCCTTGGCCCCCCCTCCCCCCCCCAGCCCAGGGCAGCCCCAGGGAGCTGAGGGGAATTGTTTCCCTCTTGAACCCCACAGCTGCTTGCCTTAGCCCCTGCTAATCTCATGGATAGCCTGGGGCAGCCTCAGGAAGCGGAAGGAAATTCTTCCACTCCCCCCGCAGCTGCTTTTGCCTCAGACTCACAGCAACTGGGAGTGGGGAGGTAGGAAATCCCCTTGGCTCCCAGGGCTGGGGAACCCAAGCTTGGGGAAACCCTGTGAGGGGGAGGCTCCCCGAGGTGGGCCAGTACCTGGACAGGGGGCTCCTCAACCCGCTGTGGGGAGACAGCGGGGGGTTGGGGGCATGTACCAGGGAGTCAATCAGGAATGGTTCTACTTGGCCAGGCTGGCAATGGCCAGCAGGCTGGGAGGTGTGCTTTAGTACTCCCTGCCTACTAGCCTGGGTCAGCACAGGCCTCTCTCTGCCTTTCCCAATTGAAAACTGGATGTCAGTTCAGTTGGTTGTCAGTTTAACCTATGAAGCTTAGAGGAAACTGCATAGATTGAATTGGTTCTGCCTTGGGCTTTTTGATTTTCTGTACTTAGCCTTATCGACTGGACCCTAAAGAAGAGACTCTCTTTGTATCTTAGAGATGCATGCAAAGGGAAAGGATGTGAGGCAGAGAGCATTTCCTGGGATAGTGGTTAATACCAGATGCTTCAGTAGCAGGAACAGGGATATGGGAAGTGAGTTCCCAACTCACACTGACATTTTTTAAAACATTTATCCCTAATTCTTTTTTGACTCTTGCAGACATCTGGGCCTCAAGATTAGTGTGATGACACAGACCCATAATTATGCTTACAAACTTACTATGCCCATGGGGCTGCATTTTTTAACTGAAAACATTGATCAAATGCATTTTTACATGTTTACTTTGACATCATAAATACTGCCATATACCACATATACCATAATACCACTACAACCTTACCAGAAAAAAAACAACCCACTAAAACAGTATTCTAAACTGTGACTTTTCTTGGAGAAAGTGGAGAGGGCTCAGGATTCTAGATACGTATTTAAAATATAAGGATAGTCCTTCCTTTACAGAAATGTTTAAGTGGAGAAAGGTTTCACAAAAGTGAGCACTCTTGGATATTCTCCATATGTGACCAGAGAAAGAGGTATGGATGGGTGGATGTCAGGGAAGAAGGATTACAAGTTTCCCTTGCTTTATGCTGTACATGCATTTCTGGAAAATGGCGCACAACCCAAATTCACGTAAAGGGAACCCACTTTACAGTGTAATAAATAGGGATATGTTCCAAGACCTCGACTGTACTGACCCTCAGACCCATTTCTACCACTTTTACAAGACAATTTTGGTACTCACCAACAGCAGACAGTACACACAACATAGCGTGGTGGTGAATGTTTAGTTGGTATGAAGAGAGGTGGTGAAGGGTTAGTGAAGTTCTCTTGCACTTCATAGATGGACCAGGGAGAGGGGTAGAAGATAAGCTAGCGGGACACTTGGAAGCCATAATGGGGATGACAACTACAGAAACGTGTTGCAGACAACGAGCGAGGAGCACAGATCCACACAAGGATACACTCCTTTTGTTATAAAACCACACAAAAGTAAAGTTTTTTCACATCAAGCATCTACCACCACCCAACATGTAACTCTGAGACATTAGAAAAATGGGAAGAACCTAAAGCACTAAATGCTTTCATTTTGTTCCTGACAGGTGGGAGGGGGTAGTTCTATGTACAAATAATTATTGTACTTACAATAAAGAATTTGTTTACTATTAAAAGTTCTGTCATTTAGGGCTTGTTTGACCCAGGCTTTTGCTCTTCAGTTATATATTTTTAAAATGGGGGAGTGGCGGCAGGAGAACTTCAGGAAAGAGAATACTGAAAACAGAAATATCACTACAGTGTGGCCAGCACTTTTGGGGGGGAAATCCTACAAAACTGAGTGAAGTATTTCTTGAAATCCTGTAATCCCACTGAGAATCAGAAGCATTTATTTGCTAAATATAAGAAAACTAGGCATTGCAGTAATAATAATAAAGTTAATGATGTCCGTGCAGACTGCCAACCTCTAAGACTTTCTGAAAGCAGCTAAGAACAGACGGCTAAATTCAGCCCTGGGATAAGTTTGCACAGCTCTGTTGATTTCAAAGGAGCTGCACTTGTGTTGATTTTTCTTTCTATATAAAGCATCGTTTACAGATCAGTGGGAATAAAGTTTTCAACCAATTTTTGATTTTCGGTGGGGGTGGTGTGTGAAATTTATCCTTTTTCATAGGGTAAAAATGAGTTTTCTAAAATATGAATGAATTTTTGTTTCATTTGCGCTTTGAAGTGCCTGTACCATTCTATAAGCTTTTTTCTTCTTTGGATCTTTTCTTGTAAGTTCATATTTTTTTCTTTTTCTAAAACTACAGGAAGCTCTTTCCAGTTTTTAACAAAGATAAATGGAGCCCCCATTGTCTTTAGTAATTGCAATGGAGCATTGTGGTATATAGATGAATTTCCACAATCACCTGGTGTCATTACATCTTCTACCACAGGAACAGATCCGTATGAACATGCCTCATAAATTCTATAGCATTCTGTATTTACTCCCACTGGGCACAATGTGAGATCACTCTGCAGCAATGCATCTTGATAATTTTTAAAACTTTCATTTGTTTCTTGAGGCTGCCACCTAGAAAAATAAAGAAGTTGATGAAAATTAAAATTGATTCAGCTGGTAGATGTATTCATTTAAAAAGCAGAGGTCCACCTTATAATTTTAGTAATGTACAAAATTACAAGTATTGAAGCTACGCAACAAAAGATGTTAAAAAAGGTAGGGTTTCATGTTTCAACCTAAATATTCCTAGCTAGACTTTTTTCAAATACTTTTAGGAAATCCAGCTAGTTAAAACATACACCAGCAAACACGTTTTATTTTAAAGAAATTTGCACTAAAAGGTGGCTAAGTGGTTCAGAAATAGAACAGATAAAACAAGAGTCTATTTTCATACAAACTTTTTCAAGCAAGGAAACTTTTCATTCAACGTATTTGAACAACAAATTCTGTTGCCCATTTTAGAAATGGGACTATAAACAGTAATTGTTCACCTCTTCAGTTTGTTTGGAGAGTTGAATGCACTTTGCAATAGCAGTCTCTGCCACAGATACTGCATTTTCTTGCATACCACACAGTCCCAAGACACACACCTTGTTTTTGAAAGGCAGAATGTAGAAATTTGTTTTTATGGAATCGTGGCTAACAGTGAGCGTGGCTACATGAGACATTTACTATGAAGCTGACTAACTAGCTCCGCTGTAAAGCATCAGTGTCTACACATGTGCCCCTGTTAGGGTGCAGTAAACCAATAAATATTGCCATAGGATAGTGCTGCCCAACACAAGTACTACCTTATGGAGACATTAGTTAGTATGCTACAACACGTGTAGACACTGATGGAGCTGGCTGAGGCACAAGGGTGCTTCAGTGTAGGGGCTGCCTGCCAGTTAGCCCCACATTGCAGCACCCTGATGCCCCAGCCAGTCCCTTTGCAGCACAGTGAAGTGTGCTGGAGGTTATTCTGCCACCATAACTGCATGTGTAGACAAGCCCTGTGTGTAAGTAGGTCTTCCTGGGAATACAGAATGCCCAGGAAGTGTAGTAACCCCAAGAGACATTCTGTGTAAGGCAGCAAAAACTTCCTGGGGTGGCAAGACACCAACAAGACCAGGTCCCAGACCCCTGCAAGGGCAGTAGCCAGACAGTTCCTTTTATTTACAGTTAAAAAAAAATTCTTTATACAAGTTGTTGTAAATAATACTACAAAATACTACGGACTATATGCAGCAGTTCATTTGCACTGAGCCAGCTCAACTGTTGCTTCAGGTACAAGCTACTGTGCTCATCCAGCTCCTGCAAATTCTTTAGTGGCTATAAGAGGGTTAACACAGGACTCTGAACGTTCCACCTGCTGGGATCAGAGACAAGGGGCAGCCATCTTGGTAGCCATTAGAACACTGTTTGAATGCTTCTATTCCTCCCCGCTTCTTTTCCAGCAAAGAAAAATCTTTCCTACTTCCACTCACTCCAGTTTTGGAGGGCTGATTTTGGGGGGAAAAGGTGTGTGCGCTATGTGACTACTGTATACTACTGTATACAGTATAATCTTTCTCTAGAGTCTCATCAGTCTGATCTTTTTTTTCTTAAAGCAATATTTTCCAAGTTTAAAAAAAGTGTTAGACTGCACTAATAGTTTTTAAATACATTTTTAAACCTCCTTAAGCAATGTTTTATACATAGTTAAAAGCAGACTTAACTTCTGTTGGATTTATCCATGTCTATTTATGCACTTAAAACAGAGACAATCCTGGTACCATAATTAGGTAGATAAACACAAAAAAGAGAAATACTTTTATATATTTTGACCCAATCTAGATTGCATATGGACATGAGTAACTTTGAAAAGCATTTAAAAATGGCTTAGGTAACTTGGTGCAAGTGCTCTTGGAACTACACAAGGTTTAAAATATGTGGGTCCCTAAAACCTCAAGTTGTGTCCCTGTAATTTCTTGCCTAGTCCTTAAAGTCTTTTATTCTATTGGTCTTCTCTTGGGAATTGTCTTTGTTTCCTATTCCCATAGCTATCTTCTCTGGTAGAAGACAATCTATGCCCACAACAGGGCCACTTGGTTTCAGAGTGGTGCTGGCTGCAAGGGTTGAATTCACTGGCTGCAAAGTATGGTGGGCATGGTATATGAACCAAGGTCAGTGCTTCTCAACCTGTTCTCCTTTGGCCTGCCCCCCCACTTTTGCTTATGCTATTTTGGTGTCCTGGGTTCCCCAGCTCCTGATTTCTGACACTACCTGGACTATAGGCATGGATCTTGAACTTTGACTTGGACTCTGGTTCTGAACTTCTCATGCAGCCTTGGCCCCTGATTTGGATTCTTCTCTGGCTTAGGTACTTGTGGGTACCTGTGCCCCTTAGGACTGCCTATGGCCCAATCCTTACATACTTTTTTTTTAATGCTTAGTGTACCTACTAAGGATTAAAGAAAAAAGTATCCATTTTTTTCTGTATTGTGCATTACAGAGACAAGTTTTGCCAAAGATTCAAGGGCACAGGTAATCTATGGAAGTGGATTCGTTGCCTCCACAAAGAGAAGACAAAGGGACTCCTTACACGTTGTATTTTAATTTAAGAATTAAAAAAATACCATTAGAATTCAATTCTATAGATTCTAAATTAGCTTCTTTATATGCGGTTGCTTAGCCAAAACACTAGTTTACTTGTCTTCTGCTAGTAGGAGGATTATATGCATAAGCAGTAAGAACGAGAGATTTTTGGATACACTCTTTTCCTTCCATTAAAACCAGAATTGCATACAGGAAATAGAAACGGCTATAATACACATTAGATTTTTTTTCCTACATACTTCAGGTCACATTGCATGTAAAGTACGGGAACACATGGCTCAACTCAGTAATGCTGTCATTATTTTAAATTAGACCATTGTCATTATTTGTATTATTTTATTTATAACATTTTAAAAGTAGATGTGAGAATTGCCTAGGCAATGAGCTTTGAGTAATTTCAGCTATCAAAATATATTTTTATAAAGTAAATCACAGTTCTTACTGTTCTCTGGCTGTAATCCAGCAAAGTTTATCAAGTTCATCTTGTTTCAACACTTCCATTAGGGTCTCCCTAGATGAGTTCTTATAAACTGTTCCCAAGAAATTGCATAGATATGATCTTGGAGTACGAAGCATTGACCAAGTGGGTTCTACCACAGGAAAATTTCTATATCTGTAATTAAAAAGTGTATGTTAATGTTTTATGTCACTGGAAAAGTAGTGTATAGAACCTCCTCTACACATTATATTTATGCCATGATCAATGTGTATCCAATTTAAGGTGCCATAAAATGGCCAATGAGCCATAACAATGTTCCACATATAATGCAGAATATTTTTATGACTTGTTTGGTGTCTTAAATTTTAATGTGTGGCCAGGGCTGACATTCAGCTGACAGTTGGTCCTGGAACTACACTGAGGTCTAGAACCACCCCTGGTGTGGTCCCACCACTGAGATCAACAATCAGCTGATTGTCAGCCCAAGTCTCGGTGGGAGGCGGGGGAGCAGAAGGACTTCTCTGTTGGGGACTTTAAACTCCATGCTTGGCAGCTCTGGACACAGTGCCAGGAATTAGAGGCTCCCCGTTTGGGAAGCCCTGATCAGAGCTACCTCTGCCAGAAGCCTCTCAGAGCTGCTGGCTACAGGGTTTTTACAATAAGCTGATTATCAGTTCCAGCCCAAAGCCCCATGTCCCCTAGTTTGTACTGGGGCCAGAACTGACAATCAGCTAATTCTTTCTAAGCTGAACCTGCAGGTACCAGTTGTCAACCTGCTGGTGCAGGGGGAGCCCTGGACTATAATATTTGCATTGGCAAATTGTAATGGCACAAGTGGCATCTGATCTCCCATGTCCCAAATCACACCCTCTGTCATGCATGTGTGACAGGGGCCTAGTAGACTGGCTTTGTATCATTTCATGCTTCTGTCGCAAACTCAGTATCTACAATCTCACTGACTAGTTCAGATCTGTAACTGTTGACGGAATCTTAAAAAAATGGCAAAAACAAAACTCCATCATAACATATCCTCAGTTCTCTTCATTTCTCCTACCCATTCTAGAACACTGCCAACTAATGTACATAATTTCACTGGCACTGTACATTTTACAGAAAACACTTCTAACAATACTTTGCACTGATAACAGTGGCTATTGAAACAAACACTTATTTTAACTGAAGTGGCTGGACCAATGTTTCCTTTGGAGTTGACATCTTGGTTATTTGAATCACCTGAAAAGTGAACAATGTCATTAAGAACAATGCCAATGATACTCACTAGGAGGGGGGGGGGGGGGGGGGGGGGGGTCAAAACTCTTTCTAAAATATATGCAGTTTTTTACAATCCTAATTGTTAGGTTACACTGAATGTCTGCACAGGTCCCCAGACCACCCAGAGTGTAGGGAGCCCTGTCCCCTGTGAAGTCCAGCACGGGGCTTCTCTCATGGGAGCTGCAGGTGTGTGGCGCGGAGTCCCCATGTTAGAGGCAGCCGCGCAGGCTGCATTCCTCCCCCCGCCACGTGCAGTGCTACCCAGAGCTGCACTCCGCTTGGCATCAGAGCCTGCGCAAGGCACAAGCTCCCTAAACCCCACCCCACCCCATCTGCTCCTGCTGCCAGCAGCAGGGGCTGCATGCCATGTGGGGGAGCGGGGGAGGTCCCTTGTGCCTGCCTTTGCTCTATTAGGCGCTCCCGAGCGGCTTTTGTCCGGGTAGTTGATCGTGTTTGTCCCAGGCCTGTGAGCGGACACCTGAAGGTCCCTCGGTTGACATCAGAAGACCCCCTTAACTTTCCTGCCACGACTTTGGATGGATCCTCAGTGGAGGGGGTCTCCTTTGAGGGAGCCTCCAGGGTCGTTGTGCCTCTCAGCGGGCACTCACGGGGCTCTGACCTCCCCTACACCCCGGCCAAATGCCACCTTCTGCCGCGGGTCTTCAAGCCTAGCTTTATCCCTAATCCCTGCTGATTGCTTCTCCTGGACTTCCTGTTGTTCCTCAGCGGCGGGACCTGGTATCCTGGGCCGGGCTCTGGGGTGAAGGCTACGAGGCCTTTAATTTCCGCCGCCCTCACCCTTATTCCAACCCTGCCGTACCACCACGTGAGATACCCACCACCGTGCCCACCAGAGGGGTGCAAACGTCAGGCGGGAAGAAGCCTAGAGGAAACGAAGAGTGACCCAGCCCTCGGGGCCCTGTGCTTCCCCGGTGCCTCAGTGTTCCCCGGCCCGGGTGCTTGTCCCTGCTTGGGGCTTCTCTCCTAGGTCCAGCTTCTATCCAGAGAGGTTGCTATAGTCACTTGAGGTCCTATAGCCACAGTTGGTTCCACTTGGTGATGCTGTGGGTCTTTCTGCTGACCCTGAACTCCACTGGGCTTCCCGGTTCGTGATTTCCCGCCGCCGCTATCCCAGCTGTGGTTCCTGCCGGTCTTGTTCCCATCGCTCTCGTATCTCGCCGTCCCTCGGCTCCGGGCTCTCCAAGGGTTGTTCCGGCCTTCCCACCGCTCGCTGTCTTCCCCGCTTTCGCTGCTCCCTCTGCTCTCGCCACTCACACTGGCTCCTCTGCCGGTTCCTGTACCGGCTTCTCTGTCAGCTCCTTTGCTGGTTTCCCCACCGGATCCTCTGCTGGCTTCTTCACCGGCTTCTCTGCCGGCTCCTTTGCCGGTCTCCCCACTGGCTCCTCCGCCGGCTGCTTCACCGGCTTTTCTGTCGGTTCTGCCGCCGGCTTCCCCACCAGTTCCTGTGCTGCTGCGGCTTTCACCGCTGCCCTCGCCATCTCAGGCTGCCGGACACCGCGGGTGTGTGTTGCTGGCCTCGGGTTTCCCTGCAGGTTCCTTGGTATCCTCTCCTCCCCTTGCGCCTTCGGGGCTGCCCTTTATTTCCGCCGGGTGTTGTCTCCTGCTGACGTCACCCAGCCCCAGCTGAATATGAGCGCAGCTAATGAACCGTGCAGGCGATTTTCTGGCGCGCGCTTCCCTGCTCCTTCCAGCCCCTGTGAATGGTAAGTAGGGGCTTTCTGCCCCTTCTATTTTGGCCTGGGGTTCCCCTGTAGCCCCGGCGCCCCCTCTTCTAAACCGGGGTCCCAGGGACATCCCTGCACCCCACAAACCTCACACCCTGCCCCACAAACCCTGCTGACCTGTACACACATCCAAATACCCTATGCCCACTCATACACCCCACCATACACACACCCTACAGCTCCCCCACACAATGAGTGAGACTTTATTTTTGAGTTATTATGCAGTCCTTTCTAGACACACTACATGAACACAAATCATGACAAATATTTTTTGTAATAAAATTAAAATATGCTATAGTAGGCGTTTGACTTCTAGTGTATGATTTTTTTCTGGTTCTAAGATAGCAACCCCCCTCCCTAAAAAGGGTATTTCTGGGGGGCAAGGAGAGGGACTTCTGGTGGCAAAGGTCAGGGGCTAGGGGGCGGGACTTCTGGTCCCAATATGGCAATTAGTGGGCGGGCAACTGTCAAGGGGCGGGGCTACCTCCACGGCCCCCAACAGCTCGCCAAAACTTAAGCGGTCCTCTGCCCAAAATAATTGCCTGCCCCTGTGCTATAGTCTAGCAGAGTGTTCATGTGCTAGGTTTATGAACTGTTTTGGACTAGAAAAATCATACAAGGTGACTTGCAGCAATATTAGAATTTTGTGGCTAGTCCTTCCACAAATGCAACTGTGGGAGGCTAGTGATATATTTTTTTAAATACTTCTGTAAATTCGAATAGAAGTCAACATCAATATATGACATATTTGTCCCTAAACGATTATAAGTAACACATCTTTAAAAGTGCTTATTTCTTAAAACATTAACTCCTGAATTACTTTTTACCCTGGAGATTTCTAAAGCTTTATGGAGAAACCTAAAATTTACAACATGAACTAAACATCCAACTTATGCATAATAATCACGTTTTGAATAGTAATTTGTGTTTAATACTTACGTAGCCACTCCTAAAGGCCACTGGAAAATGTCGTCTTTGTTTACCCAGGGAGAATCATAGATTATAAAAAGTAGCTCTACAAATCCCCCATGTCCTTTTAGGTATGGTTGTATCCATTCATTGTTGCACTGTTCATTTCCAAGCAGCAGGACAGCAACATGCTGCAGCTTGTGAGTTTGAATTAAAGTTTGTGCATAATGTAACCACTGTGTGGCGTAAGTTATCTTTGCTTCTTCTCTTCCATTCAGAACTAGAACCACATTATCAGCTTCTACTGAGAAATATCCAGGAACTACAGCTGCACCAGTGATGAAACTGAAAAAGATACATTACCAGCCTTTAAAATGTATGTTTAAGACATTCTGCATATTCTGTTTATTGCACCATATATTATCTGCCTGTACTGCTTACAGATATTGCTTCTTCACTAACATTATCATGATATACTGCAATTTAACTTTCCTGTTGTGAAAAATTTCAGATATTTTGAGTCTAAAATTATAATTTACCTCTTCAACAGTTTCCTTCTGCCTTTACTGTGAAAAAGTAAGTGTTAAATTAAAGTTTAGTTGCAGACAATATTTTGTATGGAAGTCAGGACCAATCCCATATTAAAATACTAAGTTTTGAGAATCTCAATAAACCCCTCCGAAAACAGAAGATATTTCCAAAAAAAGAATTAGGATGTGATTTGTCAGCTATGAAACAATCAACCTTTTTTGTTTAAAAAAAAATAGTATGATAACTGAATAAGGAAGAGGCCCTGAAAAATCTTAAATTTAATTAAGAAATAAGAACCTTCAATAAAAGACTCCTGTATGAAAGGAAGGCTGTTTAGTAGACCAGGCACCAGCCTCAGACCTCAGCAGTCAACCTCTGCTTTATCAGAGATTTCCTGTGTGACCTTGGAGAAACGAATTAAGGTAAAAGGAATCATGCACCTGGTCCCCTGATTCCACAGACTAGACTTTAGCCTCTTATCTCTTCATACAACCCATTAAGAGAGTCAGGCACTGCAGCATGGGATCACCACAAACAACACACTGAACAGCAGGGGATCCCTATCATAGCCAACATGAAATACTAGGGGGGTGGGGGAAGAGATGCATCTAAATGTCCTACTTGTCAAGAAGGCGTATATGCCTGACTGTACTACTTGGAAGTACCTATTGTCAGGTTGGGATTGACCTTCAAAACACACTCCTTGAGTTAAATGCTCAAGTCATCCCTTTTAAAACAGACAACTGACTTTTTTACATAATAGCCAAGTAATTAGAACACAAGAAGTAGCATGATTTTGTAGCACAGCAGTTAAGGCATTCATGTAGAAGAGAGGCCCTGGGTTTTGATCACTGCTACCAGGATTATATGCATTTTATCCAATGAATGCAAACAGCTTTGGGTGCAGTGGTTGGAATTCAGGGCTTGCCCTACCAGGTGAATGCTCTAACCACTAGATCTAGGATATTTTCTGTAGTGTCACAGCTTCAGTAGAGAGGTAAAAAAGTGTTCCCACATCAAAAAGCTATAGATTAGTTAGGTTAGGGCACTCTCCTGGCATATAGGAGGTGTGGTGGAGAAAAGAGAAACTAGGTCTGTACTTCCCAGATAGGAATTCTAATCCTCAGCCTATTACATTGGTGTTTCCTCCTCCACTGGTCATGGCCATTCAGGGATTTATAGTGAAGAATACTTAGTCTGAGGGTCCCAAATAGGCTTAGACATAATGGGACAATACATGCATATTCAGTTAAATGTGCATACACAGATTTGCAAAGCACACACAGCTTCAATCCTTCAGAATGCAAGTAGGAGTTTATGTTCTATAAATTCCTATGTGTGAATTAGAACTGTAATGGTATATTCCTCTAAAAACCAAATGTATGCCTTTTTATGTTTAAAATTTTTACTTTAAAATTGATGTTTGAAAAGCTCTAAAAACATTAACCTGTTCTTCTGACATTCTTTGTAGCAGACACTGCATGTGCTATTATGCTACTTTATTCTGTATTAAAAGTATATTCTGATTTTATTTATATGTCCATTTTAACTGATAGTTAGACATGTTCAAGGTTTTAGATTAAAAAATGTTTAAACATGCCCATACAAAAGCGCAGAGTATTCTAACAATGGCTACATACATGCATTCAAATGATCAGGGAGAATTCTCCCAGGTTTGTTTTCCTGGAAGAAAAACTTACCTAGAGAAACCTTAACAGACATTCAAATGCTGAGTCCCTGAGGAGCAGAGACTTTACAATGCTGATGCTCTATAGCCAGAGGGCCCCAGGGCACACATCTCAGCCTGCTCTGCAGGTTCCCTCAGTCTGCCTGGAGATAGACAGCAGCAGTCCACTGATCTGCCCTGATTGGCTGACCCAGACTGCTTGGGGTCAGCCTGTCTCTCCCTATAGCACAATATGGGGATTGTAAAAGGGGCATGTTTTGCTCCTTACTGAGCTGGAGCAGTAGAGTCTAGTGAGTGATGTGCCGTCTCCATGGAGGTGGAAAGAGGTCAAAGGAAACACCCTAGGATGCTGGAGAACTGTGCTGTAGCTTCTCTTAGAAGAGAATATATGCAGGTATTTGGTTTTCCCAGTAGAAACCCTCTAGGGAATGATTTAGCCAGGGCTGTTCCCAGGTTAATTTTTTCCCAGAACGACCATTTTTGCTCTGGGAGAAAAATCCTGAACATCTGTAAAATTCTGGTTTCTACTGGGAGAGCAGTGATTCTCCCAGGAGAAACTGAATGTCTGTATGTGGCCAAAAACTAGACTTAAAGTAACAAACATGCACCATCATACATATTAACATGCAAAATAAATTAACTCTGCCACCATTCTGTGTCAACTAATCAATGTCAACCAAATCACACCCAAGGACCTATCACCAAATATATAAAAAGGGGGAAAGTTGTTGAGTTTGATTTCAGATTTAAAAAACAGAACAAAACAGATAATCACAGATAAATTGAATTTTCTTCTTATTTTCTATAATTGGTACAATATGTAATATACAACCTATCCAAGTTTTATTTTTTGCTGTATTGGTACTAATTATGTTAACCTCCATATTTTGGAAATACCAGATGTGTGGATAGGCTTTTGGTTACAACTAAGAATTTGCCAAGCCTATTTCTCTAAAACAGTGGTGCTTAACTTCTGGCCCTACAGAGCCATGTCATCTAGCGTGTGTGGCTCCCAATAAGTCCAGAAATGTGGTGGTGAGACAGCAGTAGCATTAATTGGTCCTAGAACTGTGACAACACTGGCACTGTTCCACACTGCCAAATTGCGGGATATGTAACGAGTCCCATGGACCAGGGACACAGCTCTGCTCACCAGATCATATTGGCATGAAGGGTTGCACCAAGTGTACTGTATCCAGCCATAACAGAACCTGGTGTACTATTGTAACCCTTGCACCAACCCTCACACACTAACCCTGAGCTGGATCAGGCATACAGACTGACCCCATATACAGAATCCATGCCACTCATCTCGCCCACAGGGCCAGAGAGGTTGAGCAACACTGCTCTGAAGTAATTCAGTTACACCCAGAAGATATTTAAATACTTAAAAAAAAATCTTCCTTAAAGACAAACATTCTGACACCATGCAAACTTATTATTCACCAGATCCATTAAGAAGAAACTGTCTTGAACCAGTCAAGATTCTAATAAGCCATCCATAAATGTAGTAAAAAGTTTCTAAGAAATAATTAAAGCCAGGTTTGGAAAATATCCAATCGTTTACTACAAGTAGGATCCTTTTCAGGAGGAATTTTTGTAGATTCTAGGCTTTATTAACAAAAATATTCTGAAAAGATAACCTTCCAAACGTGCCACTCAGTTCAAAGATAAAGGACATAGTGCTGTCTGCTTTGCTCTGCAGATGGACAATTCCAGTATTATTGGACAAAGCTTTGCAAAACCAGGCCCTACCTTTGCACAGAGCATTCTTTTATGTAAGCACTTTCTCTCTCTTCAGAGTCATACAAAAGGCAGTTTTGAGTACTAAAAAGGTAACAAATTGCTTGTTGAAGTCGTTTCCTTTCCTTTTAAATCACAGTCCTAAAAGACAAAGGGTCAGCCTTTCCAAACTGACTACTCGACAAAAAGTACCAGAGTGGGTTAGATAAGTCAAACTTAAATGGGCTGTACTTTTGAAAAAGTAATGTTATGTAATGCCACTTCTGTAGTAGAAAATGCCATGCTCACAATAAATCCATTTACCCTGTTCTGTCTGGTTCTAACAATTCCAAAGAGCAGGATAAGGCACGTACAATAACAGTGTGAAAATACAAATTCTAAAAAGAGCTTTATTTTAAAAAAAAGTTGTAAAATGGCAAAAGTGTCTCAAGTCATTTCACTTAATCTAATAATAACAATAATACCCCACAAAAGAGCAAAATACACACCAGCTTCATACACACTTAGCTTGGTAATACCTTAACTTTATATATGTTTAATATAAATTAATAACATTCTAGACTAAGAGCACCGTTTTATTTTATTATATAAACTCTACGCAATAACTAGAAATTTGTTCCAAAGTAGAACAGGAACACTGGAAAACAAAATTTATAAGTGGAAATAAACCATTGTGATTCAAGTTCTGTTGCCATCTACACACGAGGAATTCAGCCTAATATCCCCATAATGTAAGGGTAAAGTTTTCAGATAGCAAAAACTGGTATAGTGGTAAATAAAATAAATATAGGGCAATTCTACAGACAAGATGTTGGCTGTTGTCTCTGCTTAACACCCTAACCTGCCACAGGTAATGTGTGGTTATGTCAGAGTTGACTGTACTTCTACTGTGCAGGTTAGACAATGGATTTGTATAGGATGGTTTGGAAAGGTATGACCCCACCTTTGGCAGAGGGTTGGACCAGATAATTGCTGAAGATCCCTTCTAGCCCTACTTTTCTATGGTTCTAAACTTAGTAAATTGAACTTATTTAAATGACACATTTAAAAACCCCCTCAAAACAACAAATTCAGTCATAAATGTAGGAATAGAGAATCTATGTCACACTTATAGAATGTCTGTTAACAGTCTATAGAACAGTCTAGGTCTGTTTGGAAAGCAGTGCCCCTGAAAGAGAGATAGGCTGCTTGCAGACCTTAAAAAAAACCAACAAAATAACTGAAAACAAACAAACCCACACTTTACCAGAAGCAGCAGCATGTTACTTTGACCCAGCTCTACAGCGTCTGTAGACTGTGTGCTTTCACGGGGTTTTTAGCTAAAGCTGATTCAATCAGCTATTTACATAAAAGCACCATAAAAGCCCCACTAAAGTGGCCATCCTATATAGACATTGGGTGAGCCAGGTCCAACTAATGAACTGCCTCTTATGGGCATATCATAGAATTATAGAACCACAGAACTGGAAGAGACCTGTAAGATTGTCAAGTCTGGTCCTCTGCCGTGGGCAGGAAGTTATTGGGCTCAAAGAAGGTCGACAAGGTACCCGTCTAGCCTCATCTTGAACACCTCCAAGCAGAGTGACTGCACCACCTCTACTGAGAGTGTGATACAGATTCTGGTAACCCTTACAGAAAAAAAGTTTTTTCTTATGTCTAGCTTGAATTTACCCTCTATTAGTTTATACCTTTTGGTCCTCATCCTCCCTTGAGGTGCCTTCCTGAAGAGTTGCTCCCCTAGTTCTTAATGCTCACCCCTGACATACTTGTAGGCGGCTATCAAACCACCTCTCAGCCTCCTCTTATTCAGAATGAACAGGCCCAGTTCCTGGAGTCTCTTCTTGTAGGGCCTACCCTCCATGCCCTTGACCATATGGGTGGCCCTTCTATGTACCCTCTTGAGCTTATCCACGTCCTTCTTCAAGTGCGGTGCCCAGAACTGGACACAGTACTCCAGCTGAGGCCTTGCCAACACCAAATAGGGACCAAGAGCATGCCGAGTTCAAAGTAAAGCACCACTTTTTTTAAGGTCTGCAAGCAGCCATAAGGATCACAATAGTCAACTGAATACGAGTTCCTAGAGTGCTGCAGTGGTGTGGAGTACTAACATGAGCTCTGGAGGTGTTAGGCAAGGAATACAAAGTAGAAACATGAGGGAGGCACTACCACTGAAGGTAGCATTTCTGGACCATTTTTGGAATGCCGTGTCCAGTTTTGGAAGACTGCCCACAAATGCAGAATAGCAACCAAACCAGGTCCCACCAGTCAAAAACCCAATTACACTGTTAAAATTATGTCCAACAGGATTTATATTGTAATTTTCATAAATTACATTTGCATCAAAGTGGCATACAAAACATACTTGAAAATAAATATTTATTACTGATTTTTTAAAAAAATCACTGTAATCATAAATATCATTTTTCTATCACTGGTGAGACCGTAGCTGGAGTCCTGCATCCAGTTCTGGGCACCACACTTTAACAAGGACATGGACAAGCTTGAGAAAGTCCAAAGAAGAGCCACCCATATGATCAGAGTCTTAAAAGGCAAGCCATATGAGACAAGGCTGAGGGATCTGGGACACTTCAGCCTGAGGAAAAGGAGGCTGAGAGGAGACCTGGTAGCAGCTTACCGGTACACTAGGGGAGTACAACAAGGGCTCAGTGAGCAACTGTTCATCAGGCCACCTGAGGAGAAAACCAGGCGTAATGGCCATAAACTCCTGGAAGATCAATTCAGACTCAACATTAGGAAAAACTTCTTCAGTCAGGGTGCCCAGACTGTGTAATAAGCTCCCTCTAGAGGTGGTGCAATCACCTACCCTGGAAATCTTCAAGAGGAGACTAGACAGTCACCTTGCTGGGGTCACGTGACCACCAGTTATCTTTCCTGCTTGGTGCAAGGGGCTGGACCCAATGATCTTCTGAGGTCCCTTCTAGCCTTACAATCTATGAATCTATTTGTACATATGATTAGCCCTCCTAAACATGAGTGACTGGTTAATATTCAGGGCCCTGCAGGTTTCTTCCATTAGGAGGAGAAACAGGTGATGGAGCAATTTTTGGTTAGGGAAAAATACAACTCTACGTTCAGTGTTTATTTTTTTAAATATCAACACTGTAGAAATTCATTTAAATGAAAGTGATTATCATGTAACTGGTACCTGAAAAGTGTTTTTCCTGCCTTTATGCTTCCTTCTCTCCACTGAGCAGTCATGTCAGCTGGTTCAAGCAGACCTTCAAGAATATGTTGCCAGAGGTAAAGACCTACATAAATAATGAAGATACATATTAGAGTACTTGAGTGCACACATACTGCAAAACTCAGGAGTGTTGCTTTGTGAAACCCTTTAGCATCGTGCTTGTAGCCACTGGAAAATTTGTTTTCCATAAATACCAGTTTCTTCCAGGTGACAGAGAACAAGGCATGAGTTGCTCACAGCACTATTACCTGCTCAGTATAAAAGTCAGGGTAGAAATTGAGCTTATAGATTAATTAAATCAGAGATGTACAAGCTCTGTTATCTGGCATCCCCCAGGAATGGGGGATGCCAGATAACAAAATATTCCGGTTAATTGAACGGCCTGAACAGGCATCCTTGTTTGTTCGGGCCGCCGCTTCTCCCACCGCATCCGGGGCATCACTGCCCCTCCCGCAGGCCCCGTGGGACAGGGAGGTGGGCCCTGCACAGCCTGTTATGCCCCCCGGACCATGGGGGCTCAGCGGCACAGGTTGCTTTGCCCCAGGCCATTGGGGCTCGCAGAAACCAGAAGTGCCACAGTGGGCACTTCTGGTTTCACTTTACCTTACAAGCCGGCATGCCGGTTAGTAGAGCATGCCGGCTTGTAAGGTGCCGGTTAATGGAGCTTTTACTGTATAAGCTTTCTTTCTCTGCTCAATACAGTTATCCATGGGTCAGCAAAGGTTGAGGACCCAGCTCTAAGGAAACCCACCTGCAAAATCTTCATGAAGTTTCTCTCTCTATCTTCATGTTTAGATTTAGCAGGTTTTCTCTACCATATTGTGCCTCATGGAACAGACTATAAACATAAAATGTTCATAGAATATTTATACCAAAAATATAGATTCTAGTTATTTTTATGTTGGTGTGCATACAGTCTGAGTGCTACTTACAACATATATAATGTTTTCCTTCTGTAAATAATGTTCTTTTGAACAATTAAGTAACATTATTGTACCCACTTAAAGCTTAAGTGACTTGTTAAGGTTACTTGGCCTAACTAGATACATTCATCACAAGCACTTACCTACTGCTGCTTTACCCCAGATCTGCACTCTAAGGGCTGTTGGTTCTTGCTGAGATTTTATATTTTTTAGTAATTGAAGGTTAGTTTCATATCTTTGCTGGGAAGCAATCTGTTCGTTTTTTTCATCCCCTTCCCAAGGATTCCATTCTTCACTTCCCAAAGAAGAGTGCTCTATATTAAGGACAAACAAACAATTTGGTATAAACAATTATAAACAATACCAGATCTACAAAGCAAATCCTACTATGACAAAAATGGAGGTATCATTATAATAATTGTCTAAGGCACTGCTCACATCAAAACTATTTTCAGATATACTCCCACCCGACTATACCTATGACATAGCTTGTATTTGTGCTCGAGGGCTATGTCCAGACATGCAGGGGTGTGAGCTTGCAGTGGGCCAAATTGCCACAGCACATGCCCCTGCATATGCACTTCATTCTAGGACCAGTTGTCCTGCAACGGTCAAATTGCCCTTGCCCATCTCCTCCCAGCACTTCAGCCAGGGAGAGCTGGAGGCTGGTCCTGGCTCCAGCAGTCTTACCTGGTGGCCTGGAGCAGCAGGGCACAGGTTGGGCAGCACAAAGGCCTGGCCAGCAGCTAGAGCATTGCTCTGGACAGCCCAGCCTCCATATGTGCCAGTGCATACTTGTTGCATGTGCGTTTTGTACCATATTTGAGGGGTGGGGAGCGGGGAGGTTGCTACTACTGGGAAATCCCAATAGCAAATTTTGGCCCCTCAAATCTGCAGCACCGGACATGTTTTAACATTTGCTGCCTGCAGTTTGTGGCACCACAAACTGCATGCCCTTGCATGTCTGGATGTAGCCAAAGGGTATCAATCAACATTGGCACAAAATTAAAGCTACACAAGCAGCAAGAGCCTAAATCTGTAGGTCCCAGCACAACAGTGCCTTGAACACTATTGGCTACTTTGATGTTTCCATTATAAATAATAACATTTTGATTAATCCTTGGTAAATTAAATAATTCCTGCAATGATATATTAGAAAAGCTGGCCTATATTTTTCATGTTACAGCAACTAAGTTTTTCAATACGTCATACTGTATTCTGTAAAACTTGCCTGACCAATAAAATATGAACAATCTGTCACCAAAGTTACTGGAGCGATTAACTCACAGAAGCAAGAATGCCCAAACAAAACAAAACTCCCAAATCCTATATCTGATTGCACTGATAGTAAGAGAGAGAACCACTGGCAACAAGATCTAAAATAAGCAGCATGACAGTTAACACAAGTGGGAGCAATGGGAGGTTTAAAAATAAACTGGCACAATTGTCATATACATGCTATCAAGGAAATAAACCTTATTGACAGAAACTTCACAGTGCTATAGGAAGCAATTGCCAAAATAAATCACCATTGTTATTAGCTGCTAAAAACAGAAATGTCAAAAAGTGTCAATGTAGTTAACAGACCAAACTTTTGTCAGCCACATTCTCTTTTAATGCAACAATTCACTGAATACACTAATATTGCTGTGTTGTAGTTATGAAGGCAAGGAGAAAATATAAGAAGAAAGATGTTTGATCTTTTATTGTTTTTTTTTCCCTATCAGTTTTTATAGTTGAGAGGAATGTTAGACAATCCTTTGGACATGAAATATATTCCCTTAGATCCAAAAACTTGTCTAACACTTCTCCCATGTACAGTTGGTCCAATAAAAGAGATCACCAAACAAACCTTGCTTCTTGAATACTCTGAAAAAGAGGTTAGCGACATCTGGTTTGTGGAATCATTGAATCTGGCTTCTGGAGACAAAGGGTTTTAGCCTGTACTTGTACCCCATGGGGCTATGCAGCAAACAGCTGTGCTTGGACTGAGCAGCTGGAAGCTATGCTCCTACTGCCAAGCGACTGCAGCGTGGGAAGGTAGGGAGAAGTGGCACTAGTGTGGATGGAGCTTCCAGCTGTCCAGTCTGGTACAGCTTGGGGCAGGTCGATGGAGAGATCTCCCAACTGCTGGCTCCAGTGCAAGCGCAAAAAAAGCTCTCAAACCCCTCAGCCTACGTTGGATCAAAACCGTGTTGTTCCGGCTGCTGTAAAACAATGGTCTCTAAACAACGGCTCATTGGCAACATATTTCCTCTAAGACTGGGGTGTCAAACTCACTTTGTGAACCCATGTTGGATTTGGATTGTGGGGCTCCATCCTAGCAGGGTTCAGCCCAAGGCAGCAGCACCAGCCTGCGGCACACTGAGCAACTCCAGTTCCTGCTGTGTGTCCTGTGGAAGCTGCTGCTGCATGCCCTGTGTTGCAGTAGCAGCTTTAATGTTGGAATAGAGCAGAAGGCATGGGGCAGCAATGGGGCTGGGGTCAAAGGAGCTAGGGCTATGGCAGTGGTGATGGGCAAAGCATCCAAAGGGTGGCCAGGATTGCATCAGCCCTTGCTCACCCTCCTGCTGCTGATAGCCACGTCCACAAGGGCCCCAGATTCTACTGTAGGCCACACTGCCCAACTTCCTACGGTATCTGGCAGGCTGTACTGAGTGGCTTTGTGGGCCTTATCTGACCCCCCCTGCTCTAAAGTCTTTGGCTAGTGCTGTGTTCATGGGAAATGATGCTTTCCACAGGCATGGAGGGCATGTCCTATGCCTTTCTCAGGGGGGCATAACAACATAAGGACTGCCATTTACTTGGTCAGACCATATATCCATCTTGGCCAGTATCTTGTGTCACACACTGGCAGAGAATGAAAGGGACAGTGAACTGGGTAAGACCACAGTTTTTTCCCCCCACTGCTCCTCTCCCTTGCAGCCTCCGCAGCATTTAAGGTCTTGGAAGTTCAGATTCTGAGGCTGAACCCCTAACTGCCATGCACCATAGCTCCTGATGCCCCTTTCCTCCAAGAATCTGTCCAGTCCCTTTCTGACTCTGGATAAACAGCATCTGGTGGCCATGAGCTCCACACCTGAATTACACACTGCGTGTAAAGAACTTCCTTTTGTTAGTTTTAAATTTACTGCCGCCTAGTCTCATTTTTGTGACCCCTAATTCTTGTATCAGGAGACAGAGTAAATAATACATCTTTATTTACAAGATACTAAGCGAAGAGAAAGTAAACCCTTTTCTTATTCCTGCTCAAGCATCTCTTTTCTACACTGAATAGGCCTAGCCTTTTTGGCTTCTCCTTATATGGACACCCCTCTATGCCACTAGTTATCCTTGCTGTCCTGCTCTGTATCTTCTCTAGTCCTTCTATAGCAGAGGTGCTCAGTGCAGGCCCTCAGTGTCGTGTCATCCAGTCTGCAGGACTCCCCATGGGCCAAGAAATTTGGTGGCTCTGGAAAATTGGTGGCGAGGGAGCAGTGGCACCGCTCCCCTGCTGCCAAAGCTTTGGACTCATGGGGAGCCCCAAGCCCTGTAAACTGGATCCAGCCAGAGCCAGGCAGGGGCAGCCCTGGGGCCCAATCCAGGTTGGCGGGGAGGGGATGCAGGCCCCAGGACC